CAAATGCAAGCCCCCTCCAAGCCCTTACGAATCCACCCACTCTTGTCTAGAACTGACGAATGCCCTCCATGGCCTGCTGTTCCCAAGGATTAGGTAGCTAGCGACTGTAGACGGGCTCATATACCTACTTGTATTCAAAGTCTCCAGCACAGTTATGTGAACTATCTTCTACCAAATTTTATCCCTATTAATCTTACCCCATGTTTGACTATCATAAGAGGAGATGTGGAGTTTTACCCTCTGTAGACTGAAGGAAAGAATCTATGACTTTCCTCCTAAGGTAGGGTCTAACTAGTCTGAGCTTTGGAAAACTAAACTCATTGTACCGAGGTGGAGGGTTTAGACAACAGACAAGAGAGGAAAGAGAGGACTCAGAGTCAGTCAGCAGATGAGGACGCATAACTGGAAACAGCGGTTGCAGAATGAAAAGTCCTCTGTGGGTGTGGCGGTGTGATCATCTTTCATTTTAATTTGGTAAGGATGGAGTTGCTGGTCTCTAAGAAGGCCACGGTGGCCTCCAGAAACAAACTTGAGACCCATCCTGCACAGCCACTCTGAAATGCCATGACCATTTCTCACAAAGGAAGCCAGACAATCAGGGAGGCGAGCAGGAAGCAGCTGGAGGAGCGAGATTAATGAGGAAGCACAAAATGAGAAAGAGCAACAACTGGAAACCCTTGTGGTGACATCAGGAACGCAGCCAGAGAAGACAACCTTGTTATCACATCTGTTCTGTCATTATAATTAAACGGTAATGCGCTTCTCTTGTTGGGTTACCAGGGTAGAATTCCAAGTGGGGGAGCCCCTCACTGCTTAGCTGGCCCCCAGCCACTGCCCTTCTCCAGGAAGCTGAAAAATCATTGTGCTAATAGGCTGGGTGTCTGGACCAAGTGTTAATTTTGGATTACATCTGAGTGGAAATAAGATGAAGGTCTGGGGAACGCTTTGCTTTCACTCAGATGTTTCATTTCCATTTACCAGGACTGCAGAATACCCGGGGAGATGTTCTCACTCCAATTTGGAAGATTTCATAAGCCTCCAAACTTTTAGCTATTGATCCAAGCTCTTGAGCTTTGGAAGCTGCACACATACTCCGCAGATGAACAGGAAGGCTATGTGAGCCCCCCTGAGGACAGCCGCTGCTCTCATGTGGACACCCCTCTGCTCTTGCCACAATCTGCCCTGCCTGACCCCAAGGCCTATTAGAGGCACTCAGAGCCATTAGCTTCAGACTGGCTCTGGGCTCAGTAAATACTCTCGTGTCCTGATAGAAACTAGGGCAGCTGCCTGAGTTTTTTTTTTCTTTCCTTTTCTTTCTTTCAAAATCAGCAAACCAAAGTTCTCAACCCCAAATGGCTCAAATCTGCCTCTTAATAAGCATGCTGTTTTATGTATTCAGCAAGTGGAGATCAGCATGAACTCGAGTTTGCTGGACTCGCAGGCCTTTTTCATTAGGTTTTAAATAGCTCAGATGGTGTTTGATTTTTGACAGGGCCATTTGCTCGAAGGATGCCAATAATCAGATTTCCTCCATCAGAAGATTAGTGTCCATACATGCAGGAGAAGGCACTTACTATCATCTTTGGAATCTGTGAACTAAATACTGGTTGTTTGTGAGGCTTCCCAGAGGCTTTGAAAAACAAAGTCCTTGACTCTGCAGGAGCAGGAAGGCAAGGGATGGTGGGGAATACCAGGATGCTGTGCTAAGGCATTGTGCAGCTCAGCTTCCACCAGAAATGTTTGGTTGCAGCAATGCCCTAGGACCTGGGCGCTACATGGTTGTATCTTCCTCAGGACAACAGAGAGAGAGAGAGAGAGAGAAAGAGAGAGAGAGAGAGAGAGAGAGAGAGCTGAGCCTTAACGAGATTTAACTACATGATGTTTCCCTTTTTTCTAACAGTAAACTGGAGGATAGCATAGATCATCTAGTATAGAAGTTTCCATAACCTTAAAACTATCTTAGAACAAAAACCAGAATCTTGAGTAATGGTCATGAAACAGCATCCAGCTTTATTCTCTATTAACTGCACTGGCAGGCCTCTGAGACCATCTACACAGAGTTAAGGAGGTAGCAGGTGTTGAGTAAATGCTGATTAGATTGAATCATGAGTGGCTTGCTCATGCTCTCTTTACCCCCACTACATGGCTCACTTAGTTTTTAGTCTTCAAAATTACACAGTAAAAAAAAAAATGCTTTCATAATAAATGAAACAAATGGCAAGATTGCTGAATGCATTCTGGCTGCTCAGCAAATGTATTTCCTCTTTCCGAACTCACTGATAAACTGTGTCTCCCCTACCCCACATGTGGGGAAGCCATATAAACATTAGAAGACTGAGTGGCATACAGATCCCAACCTGTAGAAGACAGTGAAAGAAGATTGCAGATTCTAACTTTGTGACTGACCACCTAGAGCAGAGTCCTGTACTTCTCTTTATGAGTCACTAGTAAAGAGTAAGCTGAGTGTGGATGGAGGGCAGTAGGAATAGGGAGGTTGGCTTCCTGTGGTCAGTTTTCCTTACTCTAGCCTGGTAGCTGGTATTTTGAACTGTAGCTTGACTGTATCAAAACTCAGATTCATGAGGCCTCGACTTGGCAGTTAGGACAGTGAGTCTGATACCTGAGCATGGAGCCTGTACCATCGTCGTTGTTAGAGGGAACCCTATAGCCAACTGGGCTTATTGCAAGAGAGGAAGTAATTAGATGGACCGACCGTATTTATAGTTATTGCTAAATGTGTTCATTTTTTTTAATTCACAAACTGGTTAAAGTGAAGAAAATAAGAGTCAGAGGAACCATCAGCCACAAGTGGGGACACACACACACTCTTGTCTATGACTCCACAGCTATAAATACATGGGCAGCAGAAGTTGGATTCAGGGAGTGATTAACAATAGAAAATATGGGCAGGTGGAAAATGGGGTGGATCTTGGAGGAGTTAAGAGGAGAGGTAGTGGTGAACATGACCAAAATACATTGTAGGACATTCTCAAAGACTTCATAAAATGTATTTTAAACATTGGCCACCTATTATGATAGAGTGATAAGTTCAAGAGAATATTTATCATTATATAGAAAGAAACAAATGGTCATAGGAAGAATCCAATGATTGGGGCCTTAAGTCATCACACAAAGGAAGAACTGCATGAGGAAGCAGTGTCAGAAGCCACGATGAAAAGTAGGTAACGGAAAAGTCTCAATAAAAGCAAACCCATGAGAACCTGCCCACTGCCAGTAAAGAAGGGCATGCCATCACCCTCGGAGAATGGCAGACAGCTGCCTACCAGTAACACCTGTCTTCTATATGTCTTCCCTATTTTATAAATGTGTGTTTTAATTAACACAAATGTATTCTTTTCCCATAATTGTACATTGATGCATGAGAGGTAAGTCTGGACACACATACAGATGTAGAGAGAAAGAAGCCATGCATAGGAAGGCCTAGGTACTAAAATCGCATATCTGTGAGCTCCCTCAGAAGCTAAAAGCAATAAGCAAGCTTCCATTCTAGATTTCAGAGCAAATGTATTCCTGCTAACACCCTGACTTCAGATTTCTCGTCCCCCACACTGAAAGAGGATGTATTTCTGCTGTTTTTAAATGCCCAGTTTGTGGTACTTTCTTACGGCTGACCTAGAAAACAAAAATAGTCAACCAGGGGGCGTTTGCCTTAGACTATCCAAACCCTTTAAAGAAGTGTGATATAGGGTAGAAATAATGAGATGGGTAGGAAGGCTGCTTACCAGAGGTTAGTCTCAGCTAAGACAATGCTGTGCTCCTCTGAACAATTGAGCACAAACCTAGACTGTGTCTCTCGGTCCCCCCTGCTGTTTTGTGAGTATTAGCCAAGGAAAATGGGAAGAAGCATTGATAGGCATAGATCTTCTGCTCACCCTTTCAGTAGGTGTCAGTGCTGTACATGATGTGGGCAGGAGCAGACTTACAATGGGAGATCCTTTCAGTCCATATCCTGGAACAATTGTGAGTGACAGGGTCTGGCTTTGTCCTTCTGATCATGCTGACCTGAGACAACAGCAGGGGAAAGTTTGACTTATTTTATCCAGAGGGAAACAGCTTATCTTGGCTCGGAGGATCCAGGTCTTCCTTTCATCCTCAGCTCGACATTCAATGGCATAGTATTGTTAATGCAATCATAAACTCAACCACAGAAGAAATGTTTGCACTTCAAAAATAAGCATATGCTACAAACCAAGTGTTTCTCTTTTTTCTAAAGGTGGTTGTTAAATACCAATCACGATACAGCTGGTCAACCCTGGAATAATAAGGCTGTTTGTTGCTCTAGCAGATATAGCAACAACTTAGTAAGCTAGTATTAAGCTCAATAAATACTGATTTTAGGATTCATAGGATTTTATATTAATGAACTTTCTCATACCGGTAATGTTATACCTGACATAAACAACTTAAAAGGACAAATTATTTTTAAGCTCATTGCTTGTTTGACTCCATAGCTTGGTTAGTATCATAGTGGTGGAAGTATGTTGTATAAAAGGTTCCTTAACTCAATGCTAATGACCAAACATTCAACAAAAGAGCCTATGAGAGACAGGTTGTGTTCAAATGAATACAAATGGAAAGAATATATCCCTGCAATTCTGCTTGTTGAAGTCTTAATCCCTTGTGTAATGGTAATGGTATAAGTAAACTTCGGGAAACCACTGGGGTCAGAAAGGTTTATTGATCACACATACTTTCACCCACCTGGACATCCTGCATCTCAACAGTGAGTCATCCCATGGATTAATTTATGGTCAGATTTGTATCCTCAAACTTTTTATCCTTTTTTTCATTTACAAGTTATATAACTGAGTCACCAGGCATATTACTCACATCTTGCTCTCACACTCTAACCCTTCTCAATAAAAATACTGCTTGCAGTTTTTAAAAATAACAGGGAAAGGGCTGCTTCCCATCTGCAAATGATAGATTGGTCAAAGAAAACAGGAAATAAACAATGAGACACCTATTAAGCCGTGATCATGAAAGTAAGTTAGAATGCTTTAAAAATATCATGGGACTCAAGTTAAAGATCAACCTTTCTTGATGACATCACAGCCCTTCATGAAAAGCATGAGGAGATTCACTTCATCTGTTTTGTTGTTGTTGCTTTTGGTTTTATTTTTATTTGTTCTTCTTTCACAAATTACCTCCTGACTGCAGTTTCCTTCCCTCTGCTCCTCTCAGTGCCTCCCGCCTCCCCTCTCCCCAGATCCACTGAACTCTGTTTCCCTTTGGAAAATCCCAGGGCTATCAACCAAACATGGCATAGCAAGTTACAACAAAACTACGCACAAACCTTTACATAAAGGCTGAATGAGGCAACCCAGTAGGAGGAAAGGGGTCCCAAGAGGAGGGAAAATAGTCAGAGACAGCCCCCACTCCCACTATTAGGATTCCCACAAACCCAGCAAACTACACAACAATAACATATATGCAAAGGATCTAATACAATATCATGTAGGTTCTGTGATTGTTGCCAGTTCTATGAGCCCCTATGACCCTGTTTAGTTGATTCTGAGGACCATGTTCTCAAGGTATCCTCAGTCCCTCTGGCTCCTCCAATCCATCTTCCCCACCTTCTGCAGGGTCCCTTGAGCTCCACTTAATACTTGAATGTTTAATCATGTAAAATATATGGAAAGCATGCTATTTTTAATTTGAATGCATTGTAATCATTCACTTAAGAATAGAATGAATGTATCGGCTTGGGTTAGGTTCCAGCAACATGGCAAAAATGCACTAAGAAGGTCAGGATCGTCGGGAAATATGGGACCCGCTATGGTGCCTCCCTCTGGAAAATGGTGAAGAAAACTGAAATCAGCCAGCACGCCAAGTACACGTGCTCCTTCTGTGGCAAGACCAAGATGAAGAGACGAGATGTCGGCATCTGGCACTGTGGTTCCTGCATGAAAACAGTGGCTGGCAGGGCCTGGACCTACAACACGACTTCTGCAGTCACAGTGAAGTCTGCCATCAGAAGACTGAAGGAACTAAAAGACCAATAGAAGTGCTACCATTTGATACCCAAGCCTTCTCAATAGTGCACAGCCAACTAAATAAATGGGTTAATTTACGTAACAAAAAAAAGAGAATAGAATGTATCCACATTGCAATTGTTTACACTGCTTGGAAAATGTTGCTGGGATATATATGTTATAACAGAAAAAACAAAGACACAAGAGAAGGAAAATACCAGAAAAGATGTAGAAGGAAAGATGTAAAAGGCAGACATCAGGAAGTAATGTAGAAGGAAGTCACCAGGAAAGCAGAGAAAGAGAAATGTCTGAGTAGAAGAACAGAACAAACAAGAATAGAGTATAACAGCAACAGAAAAAAATAATAAAATGAATAACAAAGCTTTGGCCCTCAGAGAAGTAAAACTGAGTGATTAGCTCACCAACTCCATGGATCCCCTCAATCCCTAAGCTGCTGAAGGCTGATCCTCATGGCAGCAATAGGTCTCCACATTGCTTCCCAAGTGCTCCTCTAATTCCAGACATTTCTCCCTATACTCTCTACTTCCATCTTTCCCTTGATCCTTCTTGTTCCCATCTGTATGTGCCCATAGCCCACCTGCAAAATCTATTTTATTTCCCCTTCACAGAGAGATGCACACACCCACCAACTGAGCCCTCCTGGTTACTTAGCCTCTTACTTATGTATTGGTAGGATTAACATAGTAAGAATAGCCATTTTATCAAAAGCAATCTACAAATTTAAATACAATCCCTGCCAAAATTCCAACACAATTCTTTACAGACCTTGAAACGACAATACTCAACTTTGTGTGGAAAAACAACAAACCCAGGATAGCTAAAATAATTCTGTACAATAAAAGAACTTCCAGAGGTATCACCACCCCTGACTTCATACTATAGTACAGAGCTTTAGTAATAATAATTTTAAAAACACATGGTTTTGGCATAGAAACAGACATTGAATTGAAGCAAACTCCCAGACATGAATACACAAAATGATAGACATCTGATTTTTGATCAAAAAGCCATAAATAAGCAATGGAACATCTTCAACAAATGGTACTGGTCTAACTAGATGTCTACATGTTGAAGAATGCAAATAGATGCATACCTACCACCCTGGACAATATTCAAGTCCAAGTGGATCAAGGACTTCAACATAAAACCAGATACACTGAATTTGATCGAAGAAAAAGTGGAGAAAAGTCTTGAATGCATTGACATAGGAGACAACTTCCTGAACAGAACACCAATTGAGCAAACACTAAGCCTGACACTTAACAAATGGGACCTCTTGAAACTAACTGTCTTCTGTAAGGCAAAGGATACTATTAAAGGACAAAATGACAGGTCACAGAATGAGAAAAGAGCTTTACAAAATTCTTATATAACAAAAGACCAATATTCAAAATATATAAAGTACTCAAGAAAGTAATCATCGAAAACCCAGCTTATCCAATTAAAAATGGGGTACAGATTTAAGCACAGAATTCTCAACAGAAGAATCTGAAATGGCTGAGAATCTCTTAAGAAATGTTCAACATCCTTAGCTATTAAGGAAATGAAAATTAAAACAACACTGAGATTCCATTATGCCTGTCAGGATGGCTAAGATTAAAAACACAGGTGACAGTTTATGCTGGAGAGGATGTGGAGCAAGGAGAGCACTCCTCCATTGTTTGTGCGAGTACAAACTTGCACAGCCATTTTGGAAATCAATATCATGGTTTCTCAGAAACTTGGGATTCTATCTACCTCAATATCCAGCAATACCACTCTTGGGCATATACCCAAAGGAAAATCAGTCTTACCACAAGGATACTTGCTCAACCGTGTTTATTGCAGCTTCATTCATAATAGGCAGAAACTATAAGCAATCTAGTCTCTCAACTGAAGAATAGACAAAAAATGTGGTATTTTTTACACAATAAAGCATTACTCCGTTGTTTAAAAAATCACACCATGAATTCTGAAAGTAAAGAGACAGATCTAGAAAAAATCATCCTGAGTGAGGTAACCCAGACACTGAAAGACAGACATCATATGTACTCACTTGGAAGTAGAATAAAAACTTTGTTTTTAATAGTGAAAGAAATTGGACATTTGACCTGAGTGGTCACCAGGGGTTAATTTGTAATATTCTCACTTTTAATGACATATTTCATTTATTAAGTTATTACTGTGTTCCCACACTGATATTGAACAGTTGTGATTTCAGGGACACAAGAACTTTGCTCCCATGACTATTAAGCAGTAGTTCTCAACTTTCCTAATGCTGTGACCCTGTAATAGAGTTCTTCATGTTGTGGTAATCACAACTATAAATTATTTTAGTTACTACTTCATAACTGCAATGTTGCTACTGTTATGAATTGTAATGTAAATATCTATGCTTTCCAATGGTCTTTGGTGACCCCTAATGGCATTGTGACCCATATATTGAGAACCACTGCTCTAAAGTCTGTGGAAGGAAGGAAAGAGGGGCATTCTGATAAATAAACATAGGTGTGGTTAGTGACCAATTTCATGAAGAATAAGAACAGTGTGGGCTGACCCGAAAAAGATTAGGGGTAGGCATGTGCTCAGATTGCGATTTGCTTGGTCAGCGAACTAGAGAGTAGGAAAAATGATAGCTGAGATACACATGGGTCTAGGTCACCCAGAGATGTGATCTTGTCAGTATTTTGTGTAACAGGGAGTTCCAGACAGCTTCAGCATGGTCATGGAATATTTACATTTAAATGTGAAAAGATTCTAATGCTGGCAGGGAATATGATGGGGAGAATATGGGGATCAGAACCTGGCTAGTAGGGTATGGTAGATGCTGAGATGAAGCATCGTGGGGACCTCATTTGGGTGACACACGGGAGAAGGGAGAAAGGTCAGGACTAAGGTGAATTTTGAAAGAGTGTTTGATGCTTCTGACAGTTTTGTCTCCCTGATGGAGACTGACACTGGGATTGTACAATGATGCTGTGCAAATCACTGAGCATCCTCAGTAATTTTTACTATCATGACTGATCAACATGAAAGCTACCAAATGACAGATACTGTTTCATATCCTGCTCAAGTTATATCCAGTAGTTCCACTACACAGATCCAAAAGTAAACACAACATCCCCAAGTCAGAATGAAGAAAACAGATTCAGTAAATCTGATTTGTTCAAGGTTTGAAAACTGTAATACAGCGGGAGAGTGAGTTAATATTGAACTCAGGTTCGCTTAATCCTCAAGCCCCCTCACACTGCACTGTCTCTATCCTTATTGTGTTTCCATTTGTCTTAGAACTAGAAGGGCACACATCAAACTGTGCAAAGGAATTTGCTTGGAGATTTCTGTATCAATCATCAGCAAGAAGAGAGTATTGTTAGTATAAGCTACAAATATCTCTCTTAAAATGTGGCAATAGAGTTCCTGATTTATTTTTCAATAACTGTCAATATATACATGGAAATACTCTATATATGCTGAATTTTTCTTAAGTTTTATCATTACCAAAAAATTGAATAACACTAATTATAAATGGCAACTATTATGATTGGTTAACAAATAAATAAGATATCTCATTGTATTCCTATTTCACTCAAAATATGTGGTACACCATTCCACCAAAGTTGAAAATGCAACTATCTGGGCTATCTGCTGTGGCAGGTCCAGCTTCATTAGCAGATGCCCAGGTACCCAGCCGCCCTTTGCCCAGAGGTAATGAACTGTGCACCATCTAGATGTGAAGACAAGCCCATCTGAAACTCTACAAGCTGAGAACTACCCAGCAAAGTCACAATTCCTGTTTATCAGCTAAGGTGCTTTGCTTTGCCCCCAAAAGTAAGAGTGTCACATACAGATAGATCTGCTAAGTGATAGATTTATATTCCAAGATTCTCCAGACTTTGTGGTTTATTTTTTTCTTCCTTTCCCAGGTTCTGCAATCTACAGCTGACCTTCTATGTGCTCACAATAAGATGTTTGAATGTATAAATGATTTGGTAAAGAACATTATCCTTAGGTACTCAGTAGAGTTAGCCTAAGCTATGATGCCAGATGATCTTTTTTTGAGTGTTCACAAGGATCTGGGTGCTTTTCTAAATGCATTATTCAGATTGTCTCATTTAATTATTCCAGATATTCAAAGCTTGTACTATCACTAACTTTCTTTCATGAAGTCGGAAACAGAGGAATAGATAAGTGAGATTTCCTAGGCACTACAGCGACTGGGGGTGGCATCTATGTCAGAGTCCAGGTGTTTAGACTCTAGTGCCTGAACTTGGGGAAAGGTCAAGGTTCGCACACCCCAGAGACTAAGTACTAACCCCCTGCTTATTGTCACTATAGCAAAATATTTAAGAAAATAATTTAAGAAGATAATATGTTTTATGTGATCATGATTTCAGAGATTTCCATCCATCTGGATGGAGAGAATGTGAGGTAGTGGTGGAGATAGAAAAAAAAATCTCAGGCTATCCAGCTTTCTCCTTTTTCTATTTTTCTTCCAGCAGGTACCCCAGCATATGGAATAGTGCCACCTACATTCTGGTAAATTGTCTCCTTTAGTTGACTGTCTCTGTAAACGCCTGAAGCACATATGGAGTATGCCTTGCTAATTCCCTAAGCATTTATCAATCCAATGAGGTTGACAATCAAGTTTAACCAGTACATGTTCTTTCTGAGCTCTGTGGTCAGGAGCTTGGGAGAAAGGATCCCACATTTTTAAGATACAACATAACCCCTTGGCCACTCCTCCCTACCCCTGTGCAGCCTTGACGATGATGAGAGAGGTTTCTGAATGCACTGTTAGGGGTGATAGAAGCAGTCGCTAGATACATCATTAGAAATAGCCAAGAAGATCTGTGAATGTACCGTTGAGAATGACCAAGGAGATTCATTTTACCCTTTGCCTTACAAATGCTGTACATCATATCTCCTACGTCCCATCTCTCTGATGTTACTCCTTTTCCAGTGCCTACAAGTTTCTGTACCTCTGCAAATCTGAACCTGATCTCTGAAGTTCTTTCAGTAGCACATAGACT